TATACATATATATACATACACATATATATATATATATGTGTGTACCCAGCAAATGAGAATGGATTAAAATGGATTGAAATTTTTTTCCGAATATTGCATATTTTAAATAACGGAAATACTTTTTTTGGATTTAATTGGATTCAATTAGATTCAATTAGATTCAATTGCATGCAATTGGATTGAATTGAAAAACTGCATTTCCTATTTAAAATTTTGAATTGAACAATATTCACAATGTGTGCACAGAAAAAGCTAATATTATTTTTAGATTGAAAGGCAAGAGATATGCTCCATGCAATTCCTATAAATAAATAAAAATGCATTCAGGATTGAAAAGCATTCATTTTAACATTGAATCAATATTTTTGAAAATCTGAATCCATTTCAATTCATTTCAATCCATTCTCATTTCCGCTGTGTAGTACATACACATATAACTACGCATGCGCGCTCAAAGTATAAATATAAATATATACGAATTATAAAAGTGAGAGCTTCGATTTTCTATCTCTCTTATTCTCGCATATCTCCCATTTAAGAAAAATATTTGAATAGCAATATAAGTATAATATTTTATATATGGGATATATTTGTATAAACTTCGATTTTTATGCTGCGATTATAGTTAATTTGAGCCAATCGTTCCATTCGTTCTTTTGATAAATTTTACCTATTGGGTAAGCACGGTTATCCAATCGCAAATCATTGCCAGATTTATCTAACAGAAAAAATAAAATTTACCAAAAAGTACAAAAGTTACACCGGTTCTTTGTGAGAACATTCGTATAATCGCATCTTGTACATGTGCAGAATATCTCTCATCAGTATTTCGTGCGGCCGCATTAATGTTATATATTAACGAACATGATACAATTTATACAAATATATCTCCGATACTTATAGATATTGAATTGTATATTTTCAGAATATACTTAGAATATAGAAATGAACATTGTGTATGTAAACTAACGCCATCTAGATAATTCTAATTTCGATCCATGTGAGTTCTGTGCAATTACGAGAAAGACGCAACGTGATTTTGTTTGAGGTAGGATTCCTTCTTTTTTACTTAATATTACATTCGATATTATATTATCTGAAAATATCGGAGATATTTGTATAAATAAATTATATCATATTTATTAAATATATGTAACAATTATGATAAAACTTTATCGTATACAAATTTGAGGTTATCCTTATTTGTGAAAATAGTTTCTTTTTTTTAAAAGGATACCTGACTGCCAATTCTTTAATTAATATGAATAAAATAAACTTGATGTGTTTAACTTGCGAAAATCTTTTCTTCTTTTTCTTCTGAGTTTTTTTGAGTGGCTTCCAGTCCCTCAACCAGTAACCGATTCAGCCAAACGATATTCGGCAATAGAAGCGCTTAAAGGTCATCTAACATTTTTACAAAGTCTAATATCAAATAATAGAATGAGAAACAGTTTTTTGAATATAAAATCGTATATTTATGTGTGCGTGTCATGTAACTGTGTGCAACAGTGTGTTAAGCTCTGCACGTTTCTCTCTGATTATATTACAATAGATCAATTCTACCTACAAGTAAATTTATATAGTAAATATAAGGTATTAAATTCAGAGAATATTCAAGAAATTGCAACTCTATTATTATCCTTTTTATATAATAATATAAGAGTTAAATTTTTCAGGCTATTAAACTTTTCAAATTTACTTTGCATCTTCCATGAAGAATAATTTCGAAATTGTATATATAAATATAATATATAATTTTTATATAATAATATAAAGGTGTTTTATTTAAGTGATACAGTTATCTTCTAAAAAAAGCGAAAAAAAGTACGGTCTAAAAATTATAATTAAAAATAAATATAAATAAATATTAATGATAAAATTAACTTTCGAAAATCGATTTTTCAAGATAACATGGTCATTTACATAATGTTGTCACTTTTTAAATGAATTTTTACTATTTTTTTTTTTACATAATTCTATGGAAATGAATTTTTTATCTGTATCTTTTTCTCTATACAAGAATTAAATTTTATATGGATAATACTAACAGTATTGTTAACAAAAAAGGAGAAGTTTTTCACAATCCCTTACGTGAAATTCGTATCTGAGAAATTCTCTCCAATTATTATGTTCTGTAAATTAGTCTATTCTATTCTGAATTCGCTTTCTGAAAACGAAATGAAAAATTTCATTAAAAAAGAAAAGGATAATTTGAATCTATTATGCAAGAATCTAGTATCAAAATGTAGTCTATAAGATCTCTTATGATAATTGCGATTACTAGTTATATAGCCCAGTAAATGAGAATGGATTGAAATGGATTAAAATGGATTCAGATTTTCAGAAATATGGATTTATGAATGTTAAAATGAATTCTTTTCAATCCTGATACATTTTTATTCGTTTATAAGAATGGCATGGAGTATATTTCTATGCTTTTCAATCTAAAAATAATATTATAGTATTTTGTGTGCATCGTGAATACTGCTTAATTTAAAATTCTGAATAGGAAATACAATTTTTCAATTCAGGTGAATCTAAAAATAATATCGGCTATTTCTGTGCATCATGAATACTGCACAATTCAAAATTCTGAATAGTAAATGCAGTTTTTTAATCCAATTAAAAAAGTTTTTCTTTTAAAATGGGCCATGAATATTATTCAATTCAAAATTGTGAAAAAATTCATTATTTCATTAATTAAAAATGCATTATAAATGTTATTTTATTCAGAAATATGAATAAGAAATTTTTCATTTTAATTCAACTAAGTTAAAAAAAAGTTGTACCGTAAAAATATATCATGAGAATTCTCCTTCAATTAATAGTTAAAAGGAACATAAAAAGAATTCAGAAGTAAATATAGAAGTAACAATAAATGTTATTTATATAAATTCTTTATTTTTAATTAATAAATTAATTGCTTTTATGTATATTTTATGTATATTAACACGTTTCCTTTATTATATAGCATATATTTTTTATGTAAAAGTTTTAAGATAATAACTATAATTATATAACTCGAATTTCATATAATTATTACTTTAATTTATTTAAACTTTTACATATATAAAAATATTTATATTGAATCCAATCTATTTTTATGGATTTAAAATACGGATTCAGATGGATTGAAAATTTCCAATCCATTTCAATTTATTTTCGTTTGCTGGGAAGTCAAACAAAAAGACAATTAAAGAAAAGATTATAGGAACACGATATTAATAGAAGATCTAAATCCAACCACTGCATCGATCATAATCACAATTTTAAGTGGGATATTGAAATTTTGGAAATTTTGGATTGAATCTTCTTATAACAAGAGATTAATGTCCATATAAAAGAGATGAAATGGTCCATATAAAAAGATAAAAACATGGAATTAATAAACAGGATGATGGAATCTCTGCCAGAAACATATTTTAACATCATACATTCTCTTTCCCCTTCCTAATACTTTTCTCCTTTCTCCTTCTACATGTTACTGTCTTCATGTCTATTTGTCTCCTTTTTAATTCATAATGTTATCTGATATTATCAATGCTGTTTCTCTGCTCTAATACAGCACAATGACTTATAAAATTTCTGTATCCATTACTTTACTCTTTTAATTTTTGACTCATAACTTCGACTGAAGAAGGTATTTAGTTTATTTAGTTTAGTATAGTTTTGTATTTTAATATGCACTGAATTATTGACTTGTTCATTTTTAATCTATAATTTATATTAATGTTAACATAACTTTAACGGTTTTTCTATTTATTATACTTTTAAAAAATTTTTTTCTTCTATTTGTCTACTTTTAATTATTGTTGTTTCTTTTATATATCCAACAAACGAAAATAGATTGAAATGGATTGGAAATTTTCAATCCATCCGAATCCATATTTTATAATTTTAAATCCATAAAAATGAATTGGATTCCATATAAAAAATTTTTATGTAAAAGTTTAAATAAATTAAAGTAATAATTACATGAAATTCTATAGTTATTATTTTAAAACTTTCATACACAAAATATACGCTAGCTGTATAATAAAAGAAACGTTTTAAAATTTATTATACACATAAAATATATATATATATAAAAGCAATTAATTAAAAATAAGGAATTTATATGTAACATTTATTGTACATATTTACGTAGTTCTTTTTACGTTTCTTTTAATTATTAAATGAAGTAGAATTTATGATATATTTTTATTTTTTTTTAACTCAGTTGAATTTAAAACGAAAAATTTTTTATAATTCTGAATAAAGTAGCATTCATGATGCATTTTTAAATGAAACAATGGATTTTCTACACACAATTTTGAATTTAATAGCATTCAATCTATTTTAAAAGAAACATTTTTTTTATTCAATGGATTAAAAAATTGCATTTCTTATTCAGAATTTTGAATTGAGTATTCATGATGCACAAAAATGACTGATATTATTATATTTTTAGATTCAATTAGATTGAAAAACTGCATTTTCTATTCAGAATTTTGAATTGCGCAGTATTCACGATGCACAGAAATGATATTATTTTTAGATTGAAAAGCATAGAAATATACTCCATTGCCATTTTTTATTTATTTCAATTGAGCCATTCGATTAATTTATATTGTATTTTTATGATTCTTCTAGTTATTTTGCATATAAAAGTATTAAATTATCAAAAAATCTATAATTCACAAGATACACATGTTTATATATCTTATTCTGATATATTTTGACGTAAAATATAAGTAATTATCGCAATGATTATAAATTCTTGGAAGAAAAAAATCTATGCAGCGTTCTTTATCCATCTTCTTGAAATTTATATCATTTAAAATTCATAATTTTTACTTGTCTTACATGATTGTTCAGGGTATCAATCATATAATTTTTCTTTTAGAAATATATTTCTTTTAGAAATGAAATAAAAAAAATAAAAAATTTCTCCATTAACTTCATAAAAATATTCCATTTTCATATTTCTGCCTTAGGGAAAAATCACATGGATCTGAAATCATAATTATTAAAAAATGTTATTAGAAAATATTTCAAATTGCCATATGATTGATATGCAATAATTTTTTCCAAAAATATCAAAATAATTTATATACTTATTCAAACAGAATGACCGATGGAAAATTTTATGCAGTCGTTGAATTTGAAGATGGTCCTCAAATAATTCCAAACAATTGGTTGGATGTAAGTATAATGAAAGCCGTTTGGCCAAATTTTACAAATTACAAGCGATATGACAAAGCGGTGAAGTTAATGGAAGAGCCGGAATCTACCTGGATTAAACATCCCATTCGAAAAATATATGGAATATATAGTAAGCAATGTCATATTATATTCTTCTCTGAGATACTTTATCATTACTTTTCGATATATAATATCGAATTATTGTAGATAAAATAGTTTTTAATAATTAAAATTTTCCGAATTTAACTTTTTTTTATACAAGTATTATATGAGTGATTTATAAAGTATATATCTTAATAGATTCGCACATGCATAATCTTATTTTTATCACAGTATTTACATTAGAAATCGCTGTTTCTTCGACAGAAAGTAAGAAAATGCGGATGATATTCAAACTTAATCATAATTAATGGCCAAGAAAATATAAAGCATAAACCTTTCTGGAAAAAGCCCTGTAAATGATCAAACTATCAGATATTGATTCGAAAAGTTTCAATCTGGTGATACAAACTTCGACAATTTGCCTCGTGTCTTTAGGATATTATATATAATTAATAATTGATAATATTATATTTTGAAAGATATGATTGAAGCAGACTCACATTATTCAAGATATTGCACGCAGCATCAATATTCACTATTCAACTGTTTTCCGACAACTCAAAGTAAATGAGGAAGATGAACAAGTTTAATGAGGCATGTTATTATTCCTTGATAATGCTAGATCGCATCTTGTACTATAAAAAGAAATTGTTAGAATACAAACGCGAAGTTCCCCTCATCTTCTTTACTCTCCTGATTTTTCTTCAACACATTATCTCTTGTTTAAGCATCGGAATAGCTTTTTATGTGAAAAATATTTCAAATAGAAAGTGAACGTGAAAGATGCATTCAATTTGCTTTTCTAATTTTTATGTAAAAGACATTGATGCGCTTATATTACGTTCGAGGAAGATTATTGGATGGAGACTATTTCAATTAACAAGATTATTAGGTTGTCTGAAAAGTTCGTGCCGCAAAAGATTTAAATTTAATAAATGAAATTAAAAATTTAAATTTTCTGCGTTTCAATTTTCCTTCAAAATCGGCACGAACTTTCCGGACAACTCAATATATAAAGTATGTCGAATGAAAATTTAAATTCAAAATTAAAAATAAATGGCCATTTCGTCTGTAATAACTTAATTTAATATTAATATATTTGTATATTCTTTAATAATATAAATGTATATTCTTTAATAATATGAAAATAATACATGTTTTTATCGGGATTATATTATGTTGTAGCTGATTACACAATGGCACAGCAAAAGTTAAAAGAAGCTGAAAAACTGTCAAATTTGAGTTCCAATGTGGAAAAAGAAAAGTATCTTAAAAAAACAAAAAACATTATAGCTATTAAACTCTTAGACAGTGATAATGATGAACTGTCAGATGACAATTCTATTAAAAGCCTAAGCCCTCCTATAAAAAAACGTTTCACATATCTCTCTGTTGCAAAAAAACAGAAAATCGCAAAAAATGCACAAGAAGGTAATAATAATACAAAAACATAATAGAAATAAAAAATAGAAAAGAGTATTAATTATAGAAATAATAAACTAAAAAAGGATAGAATGTTTTAATAATGAAGTATCATTTTATGCATTACAGATTTGAATCGCATTCACGATACAGAATATCTAAGCACAGAGAATATTACAACGTTAAATGATTACAACATAAAAAAAGAAAAAGAAGATGAATTAGGTACGTATAATTTCTGTCTCGAAATAAATTTCAGTGGTAAGACTAATTTGTATTATACGTATACTCGAGAACAATAATTTATCCTCTCCTATATATTATAAGTAAAATAAGATAAAAGATGTGTCTATTTATTTCTATCTATAAAAATCAAATATATCTGTATCATATGTGATTTTTATTAAAAGGAGAAAGATAAACTATTATTCTATTATTCACTATTATTTTATTATTCACGGATACATATTTTATATCATGAGTGCTTTATATCATAAGTACATAAATACGTAGATATACTTTTATACATAATACATATATGTATATATATTATTATTATTATTGCGCAAACAGTTAATTTTTGACATATTTTATAACAAATTTCCTATCAATTTTTCCTGTATATTATAATCTTTATATTATTAACAATTAAAAAGCTTTTTTACAAAGTAAATTTAAATAATAAATAAATAATTCTTTTTAATTTTTGAGTATTTTATTTTTGTGAAATTTGAATATAAAGTAAAATAATAATAACATATCAAAGAAAAATAAAAAATTAACAAACAAGGAAAAATATTTAAATTTGACATTAAACTTTTCTGAATAATAATCAATATTGAGGTAATAGAAAAGTATTGAATTTTTTATTTCATAATTACAAAAACATAAAATGACTTCAAATGAGACATTGAATTCAGTCATAGTGTACGATAGCAATTATAATTTACAAGAGGTAGGTAAGATAAAAACAGAACTATTGAAATATTCTATTTCATTCCATTTTCTATAATTTTCTACAAATTTACAGCATTGATATAAATATAAATATACAATTATACATTTCAGATTAATCAATTTTAAAATTGTACATAATAATGTTAACCTTTTAGCTCCACAAAATATATCCTTTGTTGACATAGAAGACATCCATTCTGAAAATAATGACAATGATAATAACAAGGACCCACTCTCAAATTTAAACTTGAAACTTAAAAAACAAAGTTAGTATACAACTAATTTTTATTTTACCTTCCATTTTACAATGAATTTATTAACAATGAATTTATTTCTTGTACAATCATAATATTATTTATTCTAAAATAATTTTGCATTATGTTTTTTTAAATATTTTTATTCATATATAAAAGAATGGTTAAATGTTGAATATAAAGATGAAATAATTCACTACTTTAGACATACTCAAACAGAAAGAAAATTCTTCGATTAATGTTGTGACAATGTCATTAAGATCGTCATTAAGATAAAGTTGTCAACAAAACTTGCGTCGAAATTTAATTTTTGACAGGATTGAAAAAGTTATTTTATAAAAGTAACTTGTTACTATTATTATTTTTTTTCTGAGATGTGACTCGTTAATATTACTTCACTGAATTTTAAAAAGTAATTTGTTATCATTACTGTTATTCAAAAAGTAACGAGTTATTATAATTTCCATTACTTTTTCATCGAATTTTCTATAGAACCACTTTTTTCAATTAGCCACTAATTGATCAGTTCAATACGTACGAAATGGTGATACGTCATGTTGATGGTTAATTAATATTGTTATCAAGTCAGCCAAAAAATTGTCAAGTTAAAAAATTATTTCTTATATTGCGATTTTCTCAATATTTTAGCTGTTTGTAATTTAAATAATTATGATAAATATTTTGCAAATAGAATAGAAAAAGAATACATTTCATAATTCGGAAACTTAAAAAGAATTGTTTTTTAAACAATTTATGCTGAAAAGATTTCAATATCGTTTTGAAAGATCGATTCAAGAATATAATATAAAATATTTTAATTTGAAAATTAATCGAAATTAGAGTAAAAAATCAATTAAAATCAACAAAAATAAAAAAAATTTTTGATTTTTATTTTCGACATCGAAACGACGTTTTTTTTTCGATGAATTATTTCTGACTAGATAGATAACTATTGTATTATTGTATATATTGATATAATTATTGTGTATGTAACTAAATCAATGTTAAAATTATAATGAAATAATAATGATAATATTATTTTTTAATTTTCAGATTCAGAATGTGAAAATGATAAAAATTTATCTAACATTGAAGAAAAAAACGAAGATGATAATAGTGAGCCATTAGCAATACCAAATTTCGAACAAAGTTAGTATATGCAATTATATGAGATACACATACACACACACACACGCGCGCGCGCGCGCACACACGCACACACATTCACTGTATATTATTTTTATTTAATTTTGCATATTTTTTTTAATCTGTCGAATTTTTTAAAGATTTAATATTTTATTGAATAAAAGTAAATATCAAATTTACGAATAAAATATTTTTAATGTCTTACAGAATTGGATAATTTTCAATGTTTTGTCGTACGGAAACTAATAAATATAGAAAAAACTTTAAAAGTAATAGTAAATGATATGAACATATTTCAAATGACTGTTTTCCAAAAGCTTGCAATTTCAAAGAATGTAGTGGAAAACGAAGAAAATATTGATGTTTTTGCTGATTTACCATTGAAAGACGAAAATGATTTAAAAATAATGGAGAGAAAATTAAAAGATGATCCAGAATATCGAAATCAGATGGTAAGTCTAATATTTGTACTTTAATATTACAAAGTATCTTCGAAAAAAGGAAGGATAATTTGTGATCTACTCGATAAATTAAAAAAATAATTCTAATTTTTAATAACTGTAGATTAAACAATTAAATCGTATAACGTCTGAACATGTTAGATCATCTTGCATACGATTGATAAAAGTCATATTATCAAACGAATTGGCAGTAGAATATAGTTGGTACGGAGCGAAAAAAAAATTAGTTTTCTCAGCACTGGAGATATGCAAAGTAATAATGAGTAAGTAAAATTTTAAAAACAAAATCTTTATATTTATTAAATAATATTATTTCTTTACAAATTAAGATATTCGTAAATATCTAGTGTTCATTTCAATAAACGTTTGTAATTATAAATATTTTTTAGCTAACTCTCGTATATATGTATTACAAATAAAGTACACAATAAATTGTCACTTCTTAAAAATCACATAGAGATATTTGTTCTAATTTGTTAAGAAATAATGAAGATCTAGTAAAAAAAATGTTATTTTTTTCAGGTGTGTTACGAAATTCACATCCATATGCAACAGACGACGAACTTACAAACCCTATTAAAATATGGTTAGCTCATGCAAAAGAACGTTTAAAAAGAGTAAAAGAATTGCAAAAAGAACCGAATGATACTCATTGACTTGAATGATACTCATTGATGTATATTATACTTTATTTTATTTTTCTTTCTTTTTACAATCAGAATGAGTGCTATTTTTTGCATTTCTATTCAAGTTCTATATTATATTTCCGTAGAGCCTTTTGAGCAAAGAATAATTAAGAGTCTTCGATCTCCTTTACAAATATATAAATACACACATACAACATATATGTATATTATGCTTTCCAATTACAATATCCCTAGACATTTTTGTGCACACAGCGACACTAGTTGCGTTCCAATTGTTCGTTATCGTCGACACATCTGGACTCAGCCGAGGGCTGTATAAGCTTGTGTTTTCTAGTGATAATTACATGTTAACCGCGACGGCGCGCTAAATGAGGTTGGAGGACATTGAGTGGTCGGCACTTTTACTTTTTTTTATTTAATACAGGCTATATTTAATTTATCCGGATCAATTCTCAATCATGTACAGCATATACATTCTGTTCCAATTGAATCGTACACAATGCTACACTTTGTGCATTTCTGTGTACGTTGTGTTAAGATGTGTTAAGCAATTGGAAAGCATCCTATGTATGCATATAAAATTCACTGAACAATTGTTGTCTTTAATTTTTTCGTCTC